TCCCTCCCTCCCTCCCTCCCTCCCTCCCTAAATGAGAAATGAATTCTTCTTTCCTTTCTGGGGACAGAAGGCAGATTTTCAACTGGTTACACTGGACTGCTGGCACAACTGCTAGAATATTAGCTGGTGAGTTACCCATTTTAACTCTTTAATGTACAGCTGCATTTCACTCAAGATGAAAAAGCTACTTTTTTTGCTCTCTGTTGGCTGCTTGAAATTCCTCTAACACAGTCTACTGCTTTCCAGACGAGTTGGACAACTCTCTGACTACTATCCATTCAGCATCATCTGAGAATTCAGGGAGTTGTGGCCAACATATCTAGCAGGCACCAGGTTGCAAAATGCTACAGTAGCATGGAACACATATATGGGATTTAGCAATTCTGTGATTGTAATCTGACTACATCTGAGAAAGTATAGTACAGTATTGTATATAGGTTATTTAAAGAATAGCAAGCTAGCATGCTGCAAAATAAAGGTACCAGGCATAATCTTTATTTACAGCAGTGGCTCTAGGTCTTACATATACTTCAAAGGTATTCTTAGAAAATAAAAACGGTAAAGGACTGGAGCTCAGTGTCTGAGCAGAAAGGCAGGGTATATCTCAAATAAATAAATCTGCCCGTGTACCTTAACCAAATAGAGAAGCTGAAGTAGCAGAGCATCCTGGGAGGCTAAATGGGATGGTGGGGAGCCAGTTGTTAGAGTGCCCACAAAAGCTCCTGAGATTTTATATGTGCTCAGTGGTAAAAAAATGTTGGGGTTCTCAGATCTAATGGCCCTGCATCAGAGCCTATGAAAATGGAGAGGATGTAAAAGTTCTTCCATGGAAACAAGCAAGAATTCACTAACACTGATAATTCCATCTGTACAAAGGATCTGAATGAATGTTTTGGTCTACAGTACTTTTTGAATACCTCAGAAAGGAGTATGAATTTGGTCTTGTTCTTAACTAGTGGTGACAATGTTCCTGGGAATGGACTTGCCAGCTCTCAACCTTCCAGATCCATGGGATACTTACACAATGATTGGATTTGTGGCTTGGCACGTTGGGACTGATGTGCTTCTGGAGATACATGGCTACTGCCTCATCCGCAAAGGTTTGCCTTGAGAATAACGAAATTGCAATAAGCAACAGATCTTTCTTTTTTTGGTGGGGTGCGGGGTGGCTTTCTGGAGGATGTTGGCTTTTGCTATTCATGAGTACTTCACACCCTTTTCCCCATGACACATTCCTATACAAGTCGTAGAAATAACAGGCAACTCAATATTTTAATCAAGGGTTTGTACATTGAGTTTGGTTGCTTTGTAATACCAAGACTTATATTTACTATTTCTTAGATTAAAGCACTGACTCGTTAATTTTAGCAAAGTGAGGTTTCAATAGAGGTGAATATGTGAGGTTTTGCTGTGTAAAACTTTGTACATGTGGACAAAAATCCATTCTTGATTAGAAAATTGCAGTGTCGTAAAACATAATAATCTTGATATAAAACTCAAGGGAGCGAATTCCGCCACTTTGTCCTGTTGCTGTTCAGACAGACCAAGAGAATTTCACTATTCGGCTTCTATGAACAGAGGGAATGACATTCTGGAATCCGAATTGCTTTTGGGGTAAGGAGGGGAAAGAAAAGTCTTAATCCACCCCCCTTGCTAGAAAACTATGATGTGTCATTGGGACAGCTAGACCTTATCTAGTTACTGTACAGAAAATAGCACTGTGCTGACATTCAAAGAATGTCGTACAAAATGCCTTTCATTGACATGCTAAGAAAGGGCAGTTTTTAAGTTGCAGTTAAGCACATGAGCGTTCTTTTTGCTATAGCCGTACTTAATAACTATAATTATATGTCTGTGTGCATATATACACACACGTATACACAGTTATATAATAAGGCACTATGCCAGTTTTTCAGATGAAGGCATCCATAGCAAATATGGCCAGTATTTTATTTTTGTAATGCAACAAATGGCCCTAAGGATTTTTTTTTTCAAATGCCTTATGTGCATTTTGAAGGGGCAGTTATTGCAATTTGGAACAGAAAAAAAAAAGCCATATAGTAAAACAGCGAAGGGCAGAATTGGGATTATATTTGTTTCTGAAGGCTTATGTTTGACTCGTTTTCCTGTGGCCTCAGTAGTCATTAAATTGTCCTACTGCTTATGATAAGAATAGCTAATCTGATGCCTTTTGAGAGTTTCACTCCAAAATTCACCACTGGTCCCTGTGCTAGCTTTTGCTTATGGGAGTTGTAGTACAAAAGACTACCGGTTGTCTACCTCAATCTTTAAGTTATAATTCTTTGCATGATGTAATAGTGCCTTGAGTTGGCCTTAGGTCCCACCTACTGTGTCCCATCCACTGTGGGTCCCATCCAGTGTGACAGTTAAAATGGAACACAAGGGAAGAAAAACATCTCCCCTTCTCTATAAAAAACAGAGTGACATTTCAGAAATATCCCATTAAATGGATCTTTTTTGTACTGTGAATGGGTGGGTGATCATAGTACAGTGAATCTTGGATCGTTTGTGTCTATTATCTTTTCAGGTAACGTATTTCTTCTATTTAAGGCGATATTGGTAATCAAGATAAGTATGTATATGAGTGAAAGGAAGAATGTTTCCCTGCAGTGTAGCTTTAACGATACTTCTCTTTTACAGTCGAGGTGTTGGAAGATGACAGGATACAAATACTGCAGTCCATAACTTCTGCAGAAGCACAGGTAAGCATTGTAGATTTGTCGCGGTGGATAGAATGGAAGGATAAAGACAATTTTTTTTTTTAACATGGAATGCTTTCTAAGGTCTATACTATTTTAAGACAACAGGGTTAAATCATATGAATACTTCTTTCTGCTTAGGGAAGAGAAGCCTCTGGAGATCATGGCTGGGCTAGGATTTTTCATTTCCAGATCATTCTGCTACTGTTATTATCCTCAAGATGCTAGTATTGTTTTTCCATTCATTAACATTCTAAATGCTATCTCTTTCCCCTCCACCTCTACCATCAAGAATAATTGTAGACATGCCTTTTTCTGATGTGGTTTAGTCATTTCATAAATTGGTAAACATCTTCAATTTTTCTTTTCCCTTCTTTCTCCCCCACAGGGCCATACATTTAAAAAAGCAGTGCTGTTGATCTACATTTGTGGCAATATAGCATTTCTTGTCACCTTCATAACAGCAGTTATGCAAGTATGATTCTAAAAAAGCCTTGAATATTCTAAAGAGCTTATCATTAGAGACTTCAAAATAGCTTCTCGCTGGATTTCATAGCTATCAACAAAACTTGTCTTCAGTCCAAGATGGGAAAACAGTTCTTCAGCACACAGCCACTGAAGAGTGGACTTCGTTGGAGATTTTGTCCTGGTCCTGATAAGAATCTGTCTTGGTCTCCTCTATGAGTTAACAACTTGCCTTAATGTTGTCTATTTGTATTCTGTAGCTTTATCTATTACCTGAAAACTAGAAGGAGGATCTTACTTTGAGCCAATGGGCAATTGTTTGTTCATTTTCTCATCTGAAGATAGCTCCTCATGTTCCAGGACGTACCTGTCAGATTTAGCTGATGTTTTCACATACAGTATTGTTTTCCTGTAGTAAAATGTGGCCTTCCATGACCATGTGGCCTGCAGCATGTCAAAATTGGAAGATGATCATCAGAGTGTAATGATGAAAGATCCACCTCTTTTGAACATGAGTGCATATATACAAAAGACATGGGACTTACATTGCAATACTCTGTCTACTGTCTTGCTGTTTTGATCCCTTGCACCCCAAAGATGTTGCTGCATGTGTCTCATGATTCACACACTTTGTCTCCCCTCCCTCCCACACAGGTCAAGCACAAATACAGATAATCACTATCTCAGTATTATGAAGTCATCTCCAAGTACAGTAGTTTCACAAGGGGCTTCTTTTTCTTGAACTGGGATTCAAGATGTTTGCATGAGGGAGAATACTTTTTGAAGTATTTATTACAGGATTTTTAGATTGATTGAGATGTGCAATGACACTGAACATTCCAAGAGTGATGACAATGGTTTGAACATTGTTGTTTCTTGACATTTCTAAACACTTGAATGTGGTTATAGACTACCTCTTTCTCTTGAAAGTAACTGGGTATTATACAGATTGTCCTCTTTAGCATGTATTTAGTGAATGATGGCTTATATTGTTGCTAAAGTTAGAATGACCTCTAATTGTGTCTGTCCATTGGCCACCCTTCTGCTACAGCCCCCTTGTATGTGTTCTACAGGGTTAGAAGACCCTCTAGAGAAGGAGTGGGACGTGTGCAGGTGATGCTGCTGGGTTTGGAAAAATCAGGAATAAGATGGAGCTGCCTAGGAAATAGGCCAAAAATGTTGTTGTGAAATTCCTGTCCGCATTGTTAAATGGCAATGTAGGTTGCTAGATTTCTTTGACTCTGATCCTGAAGAAGGGTCCAGTAAAAAAAAGTATTCTTTCAAATCAATCGCTTTGGTGTCAGACTTCTTCCATTACTTATCATGGTCCATACACATGATGTACATAACCAGCAACACTGTAGTTTTATAGATACGTTACATGCCAATGATTTAATATTTTTAATTTTATGAAAAGTTGAATTCTTGTACAGATTTTTGAAGGGAATTTCTTTATAAATTAACCTGTAAGAAATGTTTAACCAAATATATGGTTGCTAGTCATGTTCATGTCTGTCTAAGATCGTTCTAGTTATTCTGGAATACTGCTGGTTCCAACCTCACTTTTGGATGCAGAAATTATTAATAATATGGTCACAGCTTCCATTACAAAATTATAGGCAGTGCTGTGAATGACTCGCAATATACCCCAGTGTTGGCAACTAGGGCTTTTGAGAAGCTGCCCAGAAAGGTAAAAAAAAGGTAGAAAATGAAGCTCATTGGCTAAGCTATTTCCAAGCACTTTTGGTGATAATAGTATTCCCTTTCTATCTTAGCTCCCCTGTGCTCTTTTTAACAAGAGGGGAGATGAGTTTGTGATCGATTTTTAACAATTGCAACTGTCTTCCTCTTGAGAGTATTATAAGGATAAGGAGAGAGCTAGCTGTATGCTAAACAGGATCATTCTAGAGCCCCTGAATCTCAAATAAAATCCATTGAGCAGTCAGAATAGGTAGGTATTCTAGAAAACAAGTTATTTTTCTCTTCCCTCTTCTTGTATTTTTTTGTCACGAATATATAAGTAACATAAAAGTAGAAAATACGCAGAATATGTGAAGGCACTCGTAGCAGTGTATTTTAAGTGCTCATCCATCTCTTTTTGGGAAGAAGATAGCTTCATAGTCTCTTGTATGATGTATTGTTCATATATTTCCCATAGGGTAAGTGCATTTCAATTCCCTTTTGGCCTTTTTACTGGCCTCTTTCATTTGTAGAGAACGTGCGTGTTGCCTTCTGGAATATTTTCAGTTTGAACTCCTAAATACACAGCTGAGTCCTGAAATATCACTTCTATTGTTGAGACACTGTGTGGTGCTCTTGATTAGGTTTATAGCCATAGCTAGTCATGTTGAAGTAGTCCATGTTAGTCTAATCTTTCCAAGAGAAATGTTTTAAAAACACATAATGTTAACAAAAACCCCAAGTTACACTGAGTATTTTTCTGAACACAAATATGAAATACTATCTCCAAACACATAGGCTCAACCAAACAGGAAAGCCTTGCATATACCATAATAGGACATTATGTCCTCTTGTCTGATCTCTCAGCCATGCTGCATTCAGAAGCAAGTAGCTAGCGATATCTAGAACAGCTCATTTTTATAATCCGGTTTCCGAATATTGATACAATGATGACAAATTTAAACTTCTGCATAAAAATTGGGAGAAGTATGCACATTCCTGCCCAAAAGCAAAGTTTTATCGGAGGGCTAGAGGAAGCAAAAAAGGACAAGGGTGCCTTATTTAATATGGAAGTGGCTAAAACTCCAAAGGTGAGCAATGAACACAGACAGGAATATAGAAAGCAAGTGACATGAAGGATAGAGCGGCCCCCATTTCCCATGAAACAACAGTGCATTTTCCAGCGTTGAAAGGGAAAATGAGATGTGGCTGCCTATCTAGGATACATTACTATTGGGGATATTAGGTGTGCGTTAATTGTGTTTTTCCACAAGCCATAATAAGGCTCTTATTCCTTACAGTGAAGAGCTGGTAAGTGGCAAAGCTTTTCCTTCTGCTGGATATGCTTGAGGTCATCAGCTTCTGATAGCATACACATGCACGGGGAGCGCTTCTGCCAAGTTTGAAAAACACTGCTGTAATGGAATATAGCCTAATAGGGATTAGAAAAATCAGTTCATGTCTTATATTCCTGGTTTCAGTGTGGTCAGTTAGAGAAGGAGACGGACAAGACTCCTTCAACAAAACTCTAGATGCATTTGTTTTCATGACACTGGCTCTTCAGCTCCTATAAAATATAACAAGGCGGACAAATTCCTAACAAATGCCACTAGTAATTATTGGAGGGACAGACCTTTTTTAAAATACTCATTATGGTTCAGAGTGAATATCTGGACTGGCAAACATTCATTTCCCTGTAAAGTGCCATTATTCCTGTGGATGTATAGTTGAGTAAGTAAAAACTACCCAGGTCCAAAATAGAAAATTCTTCTTTTGCTTTTGTTAAACTGCCAGACTTTTAGTATTATATCACTGCAGCTGTTTAAATCACTTTTTTCCCCAGTTTTGCCATTCTCATTCTCAGAGCTGTAAAAAAAAAAGAAGCAAAATATTATATATTGATATTATTATATTGTAGCATTATAGTATTAGTTTAATTAATTAAAGAGTACCATACTTACCTCACAGGGTTAGTCCCAGAAAGTACTGTTAAGTTAGTGTAAAAGAAGATAAGAAATTACAAATGTGCCATGAAGTTATAGTAGGCATCAGAGAAATAAAGAATGGATGATTTTTTAAACTTTTTGGCAAGTGTATTGTAGTGACAACTGAATCTGCATTCCAGTCTACTGAATATTTACCTAAATAATTTGGCTTTTCATTACCAAATCTAGATTTCTGTCCATGATGGATATAAAATAGCAATTAAGGGATAGGATGTCCACTTGGACTAATATGTAGGTTAGAATTAAGTTTTCCCATGGTATTTGCACTTCCAAAACATTCAGCCACTTTTCTTAGCTCAAGCATGTCACTGTAAGTTTAGAAATATGTTGGCTGGGGAATTCTGGGAGTTGAAGTCCACACATCTAAAGTTGCCAGGTTTGAAAAACACTACCATAAAGCATCTAGCGATTCACCTTTCATTTGGACGCCTGTTCTGAAATCTGAATTATATATTAAGACAACTTTCCCAACATGTACGCTGAGGATTTCAAGCCTTTAATTTCTATTTCATCTGGTGGGTGTCAAGCTGTGAAACTGAATTGTAAGGTGAAGAGGCCTTCCTCCACCTACAGTTGCTCTGCTTTTGTTCTTAGGCTGAAAACACAGGTCCTTACCTATTTGTTGGGTTTCAGTCCACCCTAGATTTTATTTTATTCCTTAGTGCCTTTTGGGCTTTGACTTTCTACAATGTAAACCATTATATATTTTCCAAAAAAGAGATTGCCACTGATTTCAGTGGTTTTAGTCAAAGGAATTTTGCTGAAAACATTCCAAGAAAAGAGCGTTATTCACTTCACAAACAATCCTTTGTCCATTGCTACCTTACTCTTCCTGGCTTTGTTTCCTTTTTAGAACAAGCAGTATAATTATGAGATTGTTTTGGAAAATTACTCATTTCCCTGCATTCTCCAATTATTCAGCATGTGTTATGGCAGAGGAACAATGTGTGGGAAAAGCTATGGAGGAGGGGACCAAAGCAAGGGCAGCCGTATTGCTTCAATAGTAGATACAGTAGCAAGTTCTGTGAGGAACTGCCTGTAGCTGATGTGCTTGTTTCAGTTCCATTGTGCAAGCTCAAATTGGTGGGGCAATACTTCTGTAGTATTAAGGAAATGGTTGATAAAGAGAAAGCACTGACTACACCAGTTAGCAAAGCATACAAGCGTACTTCTCATGCATAAAATCAGGATACTCATTGCACGTTTGTAAGGCTAGCAACTCCAATCTAGAAATATCTCCCAAATCTAGACTCTATCCTCCAACACTTGGGAAGACTGTAACCATGGAATCAAAGAAATACACTAGCACATGATCAAGTACTCTGTCATCTATTCTTATATTATAGCTCCCAGACTTAAATTCTAGCCCTTTAACTAGGAACAGTTGAGAAATTTGGCCCATCAGAACAGACACTCGGACTGAGATTGCCCTCACCACATACAGAGAACCTAGAATTCTTAGGTGTCATTCATATTTTTGTGTGCATACTGTAGTTCAAGGTTCCAAAAACATGCACAAAACTCATGTATTAGAACACATGTTCAAACCATGCATATTAGAGAAATATGCACAAAAATAGAGATTGTCATGGAAATATGCTTGCATGGTAGAAAAATATATACGCAAAATACATACAAATATTCCTGAAATATTCCTGAATTTGTTAACAACAAATCCTAGAAAGATGAATCGTTAAGCACAAACAAAACAGAGAAGTTTGGCCTGAGTCTGGAGGCAAATATGATTTGAATCTGCTTGAAGATGAGTATGCATTACAAGGTTCCCTGAGAACATTTTTTTCTCAGCCTGGCTGATGTTTCCTACAATTGGTATCCTGAGGCATGCTGATTTTTATCCTGGACATGACTAATATCCACTTTGCCTCATTTCACCCACCCCCCACCAAAGGCTAAGCACAGTCAGACCCATCACTAAGAAATCTCGGGTTTGTAGGTTAGACAGGGAAATCAAATATTACAGTAGAACGCAATGTCAAATTATTTCCATAATATTGCCAGAAGAACTACGTGGATCCAGTCATGAAGTCACCTGGAACTGAGCTCAGCTCAAAAGAGTCACTTTTAATCCTTCTTTTAAACCCAAATTGTTGGTGATTCAATTTCAGTTAAATTTTACACTGTGTGAAGAAGTACTTCCTTTTTTATCTCCTGAATCTCCCATCATTCAGTCACCAAATGTGTCCACTAGATTGTCCAGCAGGGAAATTCCAGGTAATACTCAGGGTAATCATGCAATAACAATATCTTCCTCAATGGTTCTGAGGGGGACAAATAGATATACTTTCCCCTCTGCTCCATCATCAAGATGGTTTAATCTAGCACCCCATATTTAAAGGAGCTAAGTCAGGTTTTAGTTATGGAAAACCCCGTTGAGGGTATGTCTCTGGGTTTAATGATGTCATGCAGGACATTGGCTCCTTGTAATAATATGCTCTCTGGCTCCACTATGTTCGCCTTACATGTTTGTAAATAACACAACCACATGAATGTCTTAAATCTCCACTGATTTTTTCCTTCCAAAGGAAACCAAACTTGAACAGCCATTAGCCTCACCACTCAAGAATGTGAGGCGTCTATAAGAATATACCAGCTGTTCCTCTGCTGGTTTTGACAGGAGGACATTGCTCTCTAGCATACAGTATCCATCTAGTACTACTGAACTTGCACTCTAGCATGTGACATCAAGCAATAATTTCAGACTACTGTCAAGCTCTGTGAGGCAGGCAAACTCAGAATGAATGCCATCTTGGTCCAAGCTGTAGGGAATGCTGCTGGTCTGCCTGCCATGAACAACTCACACTGAGCAATTAGAGTTAGGAACCTGTTCTAAACTTCTTTGACAGCTTCCAGGTAAAAGAATTATAATCAGCAGTGCAGCACCTGCAGGGCCACTCCTGGTTGAGGTATACCCTGGCCCAAATGCTGTGCTAACTGGATCATAGTATTGTGAAAGCTTATGATCCGCGTATCTACCTGCTGCCTACATTGCAATACCACCACCACTACTTGTTCTGCAGATAACAGGATGCCTCAAGGATTCTGTACCCCTGGTCTAAATCCACCATGCAGGATCCAGTGCCTTTGCTGAGAGAGAGTAAGGAGACTTTCAAGATTGTCAATCCTGGAGAGGCAGACAAACTGGAAACAAGAACCAGTTGGATTTCTGAAAAGCTCTATATTCTTCACAGCCACTCTAACCCCCAGGGCATGCTAATAAGGATATGATTGTTATAAAATAGGAAAGATTTTGGCATCACTTCTCAATATATTTTTGCAACGTTTGTGTGTGTGTGAATCTTGTCTGCAAAGAGATGTCTGCAACCTCCAAGCACTGAACGGGGTGAGAGCTTGTACTATTCCATCAGCACAAGCTTTTCCTCCATAAAGTTCTTCTTGGGAGCCTAAGAATAAATATGGTATGTGGTTTATTGCTACCAAATTTAATTATTTGCTGTCTGATGGAAGAAACTTCAACTGTCACTGTCACTTGCACTTCCCTTTCTATTTCAACAGCAGCATGAGTCCAAGACCTGTATCAGCAGTTGGGATCACTAGTCATCTACCAAGCAAGACTCCTGACATTCTAGCTATGGTCTTGCTTATTATCTTTCTTGACATCACTTCCTGTACCTGCTCAGCACCTGAGCAATAATGAATAAAGAGAAGATACAGCAACCATTGTTTGGTTTGTCCAGGATTAAAAGAGCAATTTTGAGCCATCTTCAACAAAAAACAAATCATCTTAAACCAAATGCAGGTTTGCATAAACAAAGAGATTGATTGTATGTAGACTGTGCTATCTGTTTTGCATTCATCCAGGAGAGGTACTAGTAGTTGTGTTTGCACTGAGACAGAATGAAAATATGAACTCTGAAGCCACTTGGTTTTAAGGTTGTTATGATCTGTAAAACATTTTGAATGCAAAAGATTTATAGTGAGAAGATTTCATGCAAAAAGTTAGAAAATGTAACAGCTTTTATTAAAAGTAGATACACAGTCTGAGATTAATGTACAGACAGAAATGGAGTTTTGTTATTTTTACTATTAAAACAGGCATTCTCTGTTAAAACAGGATAAAAATAATATATTAAAAGTTGCATTAAGTCCTGTCAAGTGAAGCGGGCACCATCAAATAATGGTTAAAGCAACTCACTTTAGCCAGTCTTTCTGTGTAAGATATATAATACAAAATCAGTAAATGAGAAAGACATATCAGTAAATTCCAAAAATGGAAAGAAATATTATTACTTAATCACCAAAATGCAACCTTGCCTCATATTGCACAGGTGCAATGAGAATTTTTAATACTATTTTCAAAACATGCTTGAATTAGAAAGTTAAATATCTGACTTGCATTATTATTCTGATCTAATTTCAGTAGTATTAAACAAAATTTCTGCTCTCAGCGCTTATGTCCTTCAAAGTGCAATGATTGCGCATTACTAATAACTAAATGAAGATCCAAACAATCTTTCTCAATCTACAGCCCTCCAGATGTATTGGACTTCATTTTCTATGATGTATAATCAACACAGTTATGTTCAACTCAACTCAACCACTGAACATGTCAGCAAAGGCTTGTGGAAACTGGGAATTCAACATTTCAGGAAAATGTGGGGAAGGGTGCATTAGAATTTAGAAGACCAGGAGCAAATTGGTTAGAGGTTACAGATGAATCAGAATTAAAATAAAAAACAAGAAGAGGAAGAAAGAGAGAGTAATGTGAATAATGAATCTGCTACATGAGAGCACAACAGTGCCATGACTTGCCCATTTTTTTACCTGTTAAGGAAGGCTCTTCAGTTCCATCACTTGCTAAGTGGTCGTCAAGTTGACCATTGAAGGTTGAACAGCTCAAGCTTTCTTCTTGTTCTTTCAGTGACATGGAATTTTTGTAAAGTGGCTTGTTTATGTTGTCTCCAAAAGTTTTAGTCTGTGAAACTGCACATGTCTGATTGGATGGCTGATAGACCTGGCTATAAGGACCCACGGGATGATAAAGAGGTGTCTCAGTTTTTCTGTCTTCATCTTCACTGTCATCGCTGATGACAACAAGTTCTGCATGGATAATCCCATCATATCCACAGATTTTTTTATTTAGTTCTTCATCATCCACATGTTGGTATCCCATGAAAATCATTGTAACAGGTTCTTCTGTATCATCCACATAACATGGCACAGCTTGGACCACACTATAATTAGAATTATCCTCACTCTCTGGTGTTACCAGAGAAGAGTTTCTGATCTTTATATCTTGGTACTCCCTCATCTTTTGATATGGCTGAACAGCTTCTTGTGTAGATTCTCTTTGAACAGAAGATACTAGCTTATTTTGAGGACTAATCTGTAGAGGCCTTCCTAATTGTTGAATAACTGGACAGTGAGAGTTCTGCTGGCAGCTCTTTGAAGTATCTAGATCATCTTTTTCAACTTCATGCCATTTGTCCTTATCAACAAGTTCATTAGGAATATTGTCAAGATGGCTGATCTTATTCTGGGTGTTGTCTTTTCCACCATTTGCTTCTTGGATGAATTTATCTTTCTGAGGAGTTCTGGGTCTGCAAAACTGGTTAGCATATACTGGCTCATGATACTCTGTGGGAGACTTAGATTGTTTCTCAGTTGCTTGTCTTAAGAGATCTTCCACTTCAACTGGGGCAAGGTCATTCACATCATCATTCTTGATGCTCCCATTGGCACACACTGCATAAACAGACTTTCTGCCATCATCATACACTTTGACTCCTGCTCCTTTAAATTCATCTGAGGGAAGTGGTATTGTTGACAAAACTGTGCTCTCCCCAGTCTTCATGTCTTTTTTTACTTTAATTTCCATAGCAAACAATGCTGTAGGGAAGAAGCAAGCAAAGTCATTTCACGAGATGGGCGGTGACAAATTTGATGAATAAATAAATAAATTAAAATAAAAAAACTTTAAAAAGCTAATTAGCACAGTAGCTAATGTTGTATATTGAGCTTAAGAATCTATAAGAGAGAACAGTAGATCTGGGGGCCAGCAAAGTAGGCTGAATGATTTCAAGCCTTGTGTGCAGGTAATGTTGAATTTCCCCTACCCCAGATAGCTTTTCATTTGCAATTCTTTTTTCTCCTTATAGGTAAGCAGGAAGTAAATTATGTTGGGATGAAAACTGCTTGGAGAGGTCATCTGGGGAAGGGGGAGAAGTCAAAGCTAGGGAAAGATAGAACACTTCCATCCTACCTGCTTCTTTCAGTTTATGTCAACCAACTCCTCTTTATAAAAGTCTGGTTCAACTCTAGTTCAAAATTTGATTCCAGCTAAGAGGACACTGAGGAGGGGAATATTTCTTCTTTTCAAAGTATCTTCTCTACAATTTCCCTGGTGTTCTACTTATCTGACCACTATCCATTAAAGGTTAGAATAGGGTAGTTCAGATGACTTTGGCCACACTGCAGAAATCCCAGTATAATACAATGGTGACGCTGGAGACTTAGCTTAATAAAATTGAGCCTATACATACAGGCATCCGGTAGAAGCCATGACGACATCACACGCATTATGATGTAATCACGCAAATGGCATAATTTCACAAATTACAAAATTCATGTCATGTTCCCAATGATATCATGACACATGTGACTTACTTGCTCCTCTCACCTCCCCTGTTGTAGTTCTGTGTTATTGATGATCACATTTAAAATGACAGGACAGGCTGAGCTTTGATAGTGGCTTCACTGAGAATGTAAGTCAGCTTTGCAAAAAAATCTATGCAAATTGATGTTCCAAAGTTTACCAGCTCATCTGTCTACCCATGATACTACTGTATGAATCATTTGTGATCCATCAGTTGCCAGGAAAATGGAGAACTTTTTGGCGTGGATTCAAGCTGAAGCTTTTGCAGCTGCCGCTAGCCAGTGTATCCTGATTTTTTTCACGTGAATATCTTCCAAATGTGCTGGAATACACTCTCAGAATTTTAATTCATGCTGGTGGATCTTCTGGAAGTTGTAATCCAACATATGTGGAAGATACCAGGCTGGGAAAAAACTAATGTAGATAATAGAGGACTAGATAGTTACACTCAGATGTCAACCCTCAGAAGTGGTTGGAAAACAGTCTGCAATTGTTTTAACTTCTGCCAACTTGAAAAGCAAAAATCAAGGAGAATAAAACTGCCTTGTCCTGATCTGCTTCCATTCCTATAGCAACAGAAATCCCCTTCTCCACTTCATACAAAAAAAATAAAAAGAATTTCATAGCCTAATGCTTTTCACCACAGCTCTTTGGTGCTGAAGAAAAGAGACAAACTGACACAACACTTCTTAGTTTCATCCCTGATTTTTTGCTTAGACTGCTAAAGTAGAACCAGTTACCACTAGCTCCACCATAAATGAGCTGGGAAAAAAAACTCAGATCTCCAACGTTAATAAAGTTTTGGGAACACAGAAGTCTGGACTTGTTTTCACACCAATGTAGAATCCACATGTGGAAATGCCATCAATCTAAGTCCCTCCAGCCATAATTCCCAGCTAACGTGGTCAGCAGAATCTTCTATGAATAGAACACATCTAGGGGCCACCAAGTTAGGGAAGGATGGTCTGATGCAATTTCTTACAATCTTATGAAATAATAACCAGCAACAACCACGTATGTTATTTTTATGACACTTAGTTTGCTTTCAAAATATAAAACCATACACTTAGTTTTTCCTTGAACTGTAATCTGTACCTCTTCGATTTTCTTCTTCATCATCTGTTTGTAGATGGCCTGTCTTTTTAAGTGCAGAAGGTCTGAAAGGTTTTGGAAGGTCTGGTATGTTGGCATATATGTAGTCAGCTGGCTCTATAAAAAAGGGATAGTTAATCAGTACATATATCACTTCTGCTTATGCATAAAATCTTTTGAAAAGCTATATTTAAGAGAAACATACCTTCTGTAGTCTCTATTCTTTCCACTTTTACAGACTAAAAAAACAATAACAAAGAATTCTGTGATTTTCCCAACATTTAAAGAATTACAATACAACCAATTACTACTTTCTTTTAGGTTAACCAATATAACCAATTCCATGTGGTTACTCAGAAATGTGTCCCACAGCACTTATTTTTCAGTAAATGTGCAGAAGATCTCAGCTTTAAAAGGAATCGGGATTTAAAAATAATTCCTATACAATCGGGCAAAACAACATTTTGGTGCTCAAGGGTCATGTCTTGCCAGGAATGGGGAAGGTCAGGGGAGAGGCTGAAAAGTGGATGACACCATATTTTTGGAGAAGAAATTTTCCTGTGTCCTGGCAGCAGCAACACGGACTGTCCCACTGCTATTTTGAATCTTTCATAAACTTAGTGTTATTCTACATTATTGTGCGTGTTGTTGGGAAAAAAGAAGGGGAAGGGGATCCTTGCAAAAAAGTTGGAGAAAAATTGGCCAATAGGAAGGAAGCAAAGAAGTGAAAAGGCCACACTTTCTCAGAGCAGTGTTGTTGTTCCTGTAAAAATGCAGCTCAGCTCTAGAAATCAAGGTCTCTGTCTTCCCAAAATGGACCAAGCATTTCCCTTTTGCATTTGGGTTATTAAAATAATTTTTTAAAAAGCTCTTAAGTGGTAAGTGTAGGTGGTAAATGGGTTTGTCATTTCCAGTCAATAAAATGAGATTTTTCCTCTGTTTCCTCTTGCTCTGTACTACCATATTCTCAATACAATTATTCAGGCAAAGGTAGTACCTTTTCCCCACTGTACCAATTGCATAATACATTTCTGCAGAATTGTTTGACTTTCAGGGCAAGCTTCTATGTTTGTTCAGGCTTTTTCCCCCTGAAGGATGAATAAATATATATTGTTTTCTTTCTTTCTTTTGGAGTTTGGAGAGGGCAAGGGAATGTACTCAAAATGTTCTTGACATTTAGGTAATATAGATATAGTTAATAGTTAACATCAAATAATTTCATGTTGCGATAATGTTTCAGCGCATAGTACAACTATATGCTGCTACAAGGTTAAAATAGAAATGTAGGGAAAAAAATCCTATAACACGGAACAGATTTGGCAATGCTAAAAATCCAGGCTAATATAACTGGATTGATCCTGACATTTACTTCATTTACAGTATCTGATCCTGAGCTTGACGTTTGTAAGTTTTTGGTATTATTAATTTCTAGTGTTGTGCATCAGATTGTAGCCTCGAATATTTCCTTGCTTTCATCCCTGCATCTACTTTAAAGGTTCATTTGTTATTTTTGACAGATCAATTGACTGTATCAGTGGCAACAGGATTTTCAAATTAGATGCTGACCTTTATAATATCTTCTGTGGTCCTTTCAACAGATTTAAGCTTCTTCAAAATGGCCTTTTCTTTTGCTGAGATTGTCAATTCTTCTTTCTCAATATCTTCAATTTCTTTCTCAAGCCTGCATAGATGTGATATTAAATAGACCACAGATTAACAGTAATGAATACAGAGCAGAGAGCCATCTTTCTCAATTTGGCACTTGCTGGAGTTCGACTCCTAGAATTTGCAGGCTTTGGAAATTGTGGGAACTGCACTCCCAACTCAGACAGAAGGTGCCAATTGAGAAAGGCTGTCCCAGAATTGGGATTGCCCCAAGATATTTCATTGCCTGCTTCCACGTACAATATCCAGCTGAGCTGGCATTTCAGTCTTCAGTAGGACATCATCATGCCATGCTTAATGGGAAACAGAGCTTGGAGAAAAAATGGTGGTAGGCTGCTGTCACTGTCCCTCCATCCCCACCACCATCATCTGCTACAGGATGCAGTAACCTCATTCTTCAAAGTGGCTAGGTTGATTTTGCCCTAGAGTGCCACAATCAAGTAGATTCAAAGCTTATTTGGTTAGATCAGGAGCAGGCAACCTTTTGGTGCCAGAACTGCACTGAATATTTCTAGGGGAGCTGAAGACCGCAATGGATGGGGGAAGATGTAAACTATGCTAGGCCATGTCATACACCTGGTCAAAACACAGGTTTTCTATTTTTCCCTGCGGTTGAGGGGAAAGCTTGACAGGTGATCTTCATTTAAAAAAAAAATACAATTTTTATGCATATCCTCAAAATGGTAGAAAACAATGACATTGATTTTTGACAGCTGTGGTCAAGTCCCTTCAGGGGACACCAAGAAAGATTTTGGGAACCAGATGAAACTCTTGTTACTTGGCTTGCCCAAATCCAGCACTCGTTCCATATGGAGAAGCTGGACCAAATAAACCCTGCTTTGTGTATATCTATGACACCATAGTGCTTCTTTTGTTGTTGTTGCACACTGAATCATTTAAACAAGATAATTGGTTCGGCTGCTGGCCCAAAGGAAATGCAGAGAATATGGGTTTGCTCTGTGTTCCTCATTAGCTGCAGCATAGGCAGTGTCCCACTTTCAGGAATTTTCACCTCTTGGCTGCTGGGACTCTCCTCACCTTCTGAAGCAAAGGCATTGTGGCAGCTTGCCACAGTCTCCTTGCAATAAAAGCAGCAGCAGCTTTGCAGAGCCCCTTCAGAGGGGTGGGCAGGCTTTGTCCTTGTCTACTCCCCCTCTCCTTCCCCCAACTTGGATAACTCAACACAGGGAAAGAAGAACTAAGAAGAGGGCAGGGCGCTGGTTAGCTTTTTAAAAATGTTATCCATGCCTAGCTAGGGGGTACAATAATAGGCTTAAGTCGGGGAGCAGAAGATGAGGACAGTCATGAGAACAGTAGGGAGTGGTGCAAAAATACTGCTGGCAATTCAGAAGGCGAAGGTGGTGGATGTGTGGAAAGGGCCTATGTTAGGGTTATGATCCCAGAATGTGAGCTGAAGAGCACAGAAATCTGTTGAACAAAGTTTCAACCTGCATCCTACTACTTCCTTCTAAGAACCCAAAGTACTGAGGAACTCTCCTGGAATGGACCAAGGGGATGGAAAGAAATATTTTCCATGTTATATTCTGGACAGTCTCCTTTTAGCATGCTAGCGCTATAGAAAAACGTGACATTACAAAGAATATACACTTCTTTGCACCATGGTGGCGTCTTCTCTTGGAATTGGGTTGCTTTTATTTGGCATGTGCATGAACATACTGTATGTTTTCAGCTGCCAACATTTATCTGAAAATGGATTATTGGGTGGAGAGTGTCAGTGTAAAAGTGATTCACACTGGTGGCACATTCTACCAGAATTAAAATTAGTTGATATTGTCTTATTTAAAGTGTGCTCATAGAGCACAGGACACAGTAAAATCAATACTGAATTGTGCGGTATGCCTTGTTCTCTATTCCTAAGTGTAACATCCCATTTGCTTTATGATTATATATATATATATATAGGAGTGAAGTGAATGCTAGGCAACCTTTCTGATTTACAGGCAGTCCTCAACTTACAACCATTTGTTCAGCAACCGTCCAAAATTACAGAGGTGCTGAAAAAAGTGACCTACAACCGGTCCTCGAAGTTACGGCTGTTGGAGGTCACTTATGACCACAGGGGCACTTCAACTCCCCCCACCTGCCTATCTTCTCCCCCATCTCTGCCATTTTGGCCACTCTGCACCCTGCCTTGTGGGGTGGCAAGCAGCTCCAGAACCACATGGCTTGGGGGCTGCTTGCCACGCCACGGGAAGCTGCAGCCACCCCAGCCCAGCCCTAGCCTCAGTTGCCCTTGCCACTCTGCACTCCGAGACCCCTGCTGTCCTGTGCTCCATCGTCCCAGCTTGCCTTGCTGTCTTCTTTCTCCTGCTGTTGATGAGGTGTGCCCAGCCTGGCCCTCCATG